ATAGCGCGAGCCACCGACGTGGCAACAGTTACACCGTTTCCGCGATATCCATCGGCGAACAGATTCCACGGGATTATTCGCAGCGTAGCCTCTCCGGACTAGTGGCTGGTCCAGGTGATACTGCGGATGCTCGCGGCAGTGTTGCAACATCCGGATTCTCAACGAGCACGGCACGTAAGTAGATACTGCCGACGAATCGTACCGGGTTCGATGATCCCGTACAATCGACGCGTGTCACCGATTCATGCTGGCAATCCTGGCTACCTGTGTGAGTGACACGGAGTGAATATATGGTGGTTGCTCGCCAGACACTACGGGAACCCATCAACGAGCATCGCTGGATTAACTGTCCGGTAATCGAGCAGCGATTAACGAGATCAACGAGAGTGTTAGGGGAACGGAAAATATAATGAAGAGGCTGGCACGTGTCGCTTGTGTGAAGCAGCCGTTCCTGTATTTCAACTAATCGCGTCGCGTCCGACGTGAAGGATCAATGCGTTTCGCTTGTTAAACCGAAACTTACGTCACATTGTGCAACTCGCGATCGGATCTTCGATGGATCTTTTTATAAGCAGCGCTGTGCTCGGTAGGATTTCTGGTTGGACCAGTCAGATTGTGATCGAACATTAAGATTCAAAAGGAGGAACATGAATTGATCGTTGGAACGCGTGTATCGGATGAACGCGGAAGCTCGAAAAAGACTACAACGTAACTTTCTCTTATTACCAAAGAATACATTGACGTAAGGGTTGAAGGGTAAAATAAGTGTCTGACCATTTCACGAGCATTTACGTGCGTTTTATACTGCAACAATCAGGCACCAATGCCACGCATCTCGAATTCCATCGACCGACTCTGATGTTAACATGCTGATGTTAAGCAAAATATTATCTCCTGCTGTATACACATAGAACCATCAGCATCAAAAGAACTCTTTTTACCAGGAAGAAGAATCTTCAGAACGTTAGACACTTAGTGAATTCGAAAATAACAACAGAAAGACCATTAAGCTAGCCGACATTCGCCAAGCGAGCCACATGACCCAAGTTTCACTGAAGACTCTCCGCGGAGAGACCCCAATGCTCACCTAACTGGCACCACGCTAACGACGCGTGAACGCAAACCGAACAACATCTAAACTCCCTGTCTTCATGTGAAAAGCTGGTATTCACGCTAATCCTTGCATCAGACCAGCAACTTTCTAAGTTGGGTGCAAAGGTGTTCGTTCGGTTTTCAATATGTTTCACGATCTTCCTCGACGAGTCCGATCAGACAGTAACTAAAGTTGCTGTGAAGGAACTCGAGCTACGGGGTGCACCGAAACGTGTTGCCCGCGAGACCGCGGTGCGTTTCCATGTGAATGTGTGGATGGTGTCGTCGTCGTTGATATCGCCGCGGAACAATATACTTTTACGAGCTGTGTCGTACCGCGAGGTGCATCGTTGTCCGCCTGATTACCGTCGATCTTCCCGGCGATCGATCACCGCTAGGGAAGCCGCATCTCTTGGTTAATTTCGGCCCGATGGCTTCGACGCTCTGAAGCTCCGCGTTTCAACCGGTGCTCTCCACGAGGTGCGAGGACCTAACCACCGTACGTATCCCGGCATGCGTTTCACGTTTCTCTGTATGCGTGTGCGCTCGTGTATGCCTGATAAGATCATTTGGCGCTTAGTAGCTCGTTATAGGTGCCCTAGCAACGTCGAAATCGTTTAACCTGCTGGCGGACCTGCGTTCCGGTTAACCCTGAAAGGATTAAACTTCGAGACTTAGGGGGGATTGTCTGCGTGTACGGGGTGAGTCGTCTTACTCCAGCGTTACTTAAATTACTTGTGAACAGTTTGCCAGGCGCGGAAAGGTGACGGATATTTTATAGTGGATATGTAATAATTGGTCTCGCGATTGATTTCTGTGCGAGATCAGAGTATTGCCTTGGGTTTCTTGAATGGAGTGTGTAGCGGTTGGGTTTGGGAAGTATTGAAGGCTGAGTGAAGGGACTGTTGGATATATAGGTTGAGAAATTAGGGATTATTTAGATATTTTGTATTCACTCAACGATGGAAGATTTATTTGAATTGATTGTTATTGGAAATGTTTTGAGCATTAAGATTAAGAATCGTCCAATGAATAGTTTGAAAATAATTCGAGTTTTGAATTGTGGTGTTAAGTGTGTACTTTATTTGAAGGAATTTGGATTGAAGCAATATTTATGACTCTCCTATGATAAGAAGATAATTATTTGCATGTAACAAACGGTTTACAAGCAATATATGGTGGAACAGTTTGATGACTCACTCTGTATAACAATTTATTTTGCATGGTTTTGTTTAAAAATGGTATCCATATACAAGTTAAAATTAAGGATTTTAATATATGGTACATGTGGGGTTATTTTAGGAATTTTTAAGTTCTGATGCGTTGAAGAGCATATTCAATATACGAATAGTATAAGTTTTACTAAATTATATGAAATATGGTAGAATAGGATACATAATAAAGATTTTGTCATTTGTTTTGTCGTTCTTCTTTTTTTCAGTTTTATTTTTCCCTGTTGTTAATTTAATACGCTTTCTCGCTTCCTTTCTTGGATTTTCATTTACTTTTCTTCATCTTTTTTTCAATTTCATTCAATTTTCTTTGTCATTGACTTTTATAACATTTAACCACTTATATGACTTGATACTGCGAAAAACGTAAGAAAGAAAGTATAAATGAAAAATAAATTACAAATGAAACTGATGAAAACTAGCAATATTGAAAATATAAGTGGTAATGAATAGTTATTCGAAATAATCTATACGAGTAAATCAAAAACGTGACAAGATAATACATTTATATAATACATGCGAAATTAGACTCGAATTAGAATAAATAAGAAAATATTAAAAGTTAACAGAATAGTTTTGATTTCAAAATAAGGTGGTTTGAAAATTCCAGTTTTTGATAAAACTGAACGATTTATGAGAAAAAGGACACTTTAATATTTTTTATAATAATCAATATTGTAACACAACTATTTTTCAAATATAGAGTATTGATTGTCAAAAGAAGGAATACAGAAATGTGGATATTATTTCTTAATATTAACAAGAACGATCAACAGAATACTTTAAAATATAACAAAATTATTCAATAGATAATGAACTGATAAATAAAATCTGAGAAAATGTGATTAATATTTGATTTGAAATATGATTAATTAATTAGTATTTCTAAACTTATATGTTTTCTATTGTATTCAGTATACAATCGTATCTAAAACATTAATATATAAACCGAAATACCTGTCCGTCGTTTCTTTTCTTATAATTTTTTTTATTTAAAAACACGATGTTTAAATTTGTCACGTAACTTTGAAGGATTAATTTTTATTTATTTTAATAGGTAGATAGCATATATTTTGATCATTATCTGGCTAAACGCAAAAAGTCAGGAAAGGTTAGGAAAAGCAACTGACTTTAAACGTAATTGAAATAAAAGAGCTTTTGCCACTGAAATTGCGAGATAAAGTATAACGATACGTTGCAATACACGGTAAAAATATATTATATTATAATTAAAGTAACTGAAAAACGTAAAAACTGTTCGTAACTTTTCTTGCACTCGGGGCAAACAGTGGAGCGATCTCCTCAAGATTCTCAAGTGGCGTGAATTCTGGGACCCTTGTTCCAGCTGCTGAATACGCTACACTGTGTAAGTTGACACAGATAGAGAAAAAATATAAGAAAATACGGGTTTTTTCATTTATGCATATTTTATATATGCTTCATTTAATTTACACTTTATTACATTTCAGAAAGATGAATAATTTATTCTATGTACATGAATATTCTTTCACAAATTTGTTGTAATAATTATAATTATAAATAACTAGTTTTTTTTATTGCACGTAGACATTTGAATCTCCTTCATTAAGAATTAATTCATTGTAATTAGACATGAAATATTGAAATAAAATATTTCTGTTTCTCGATTAGTGTATTATTTCAATTTAATACAGTTCAAACTGTAATTAATGTTTTATTGAAAAAATATGAATGTATGTAGCGAAAAAACTTTCAAGCTCAAAGGGTTAACGCTATAAAGTTATTTATCCTTTTGTTTCTTCTTTACAACTGTACCCGGCAAGAACTATTTCACTGTTCATAATTCGTTAGGAGAAGAAAATTCCACGTTCATTTTGTGTCTATGTTTACTCTAAAGCACTAATGATAATAGAAATAATATTCAATTAATAACAGTCAAATTGGTAATAGAAAAATTGATAATAGAAATATTAATAACAGAAAATAATATTCAATTTAGACTCGAAAGAATTAAGTAACATTTATATTAGTTAAATGTGATTCGAAATTTTTGCCACGATATTGCAGCAGAAGGGATTAACCTATTAACTGTGAAATTTAGTTTAAAAAATCTCTCATTATGCGCATAATAAAATCTAACAAAGAAGTATGTATCCGTCAAACATAGGGCAAATGAACGTATAATATATTCCAACGAAGGATTAAAGTAAAAGGACTAAGAATTACATGTATTTCTGAAAGAATAACTAATTCATCGTGAAAAAAATGACTATCATTTTGTCATTTAACCAATTTTATCTTGCTTTATGATTTATTTCTTAACTATGATCGATGCAGCTACTTTTTTCTTAATAATTTATTAAAAACACAACAAATTTTAATCTTTATTCTATGTCTACGTTTACTCCAAAGGTTAACAATTGATAATAGAAAAGTAATATTTAATTTATATTCCAGAAGATTATAATTAATAACACTTAGATGTCTCAAATTCAATCGAAAATCATTTCGAGTTTTACGATGACGCGTATACTCGTCAAACGCAGTAAATTGGTTAAGACGGACAGATTTGTTGGGATACCCTGTCTATGAACTTTCTTCCGACAAAACCGTCTGTGTGCGGCTAAGTATTCTGCGTGCGCGCCTTGACGAACATTCGTGGATCTTTGGTGCACGGATGGTCGTAAAAATCGACCGTTTTCGAGAGTCTCAAGTGGCGTTTTCGGCGCGCGTCGTTTAGTGTGGCCGGCACTTGGCTGTGCGCGGTTCGCGCACTGGTTCGTGCGCACTGTTGCATAGATGTAGACCCAGCCTGAGGCTGAGGGTGGCCGTGTCGGAGCAAAATCTCATTTCTACAGGTTGTACGGGTCTTTTTTATTCGGTTAGACGCTCACTCCTCTAATCGCTGAACACGCTGCTCGTCTATTATGTCGACGTAATGCTTCGCTTGTTGCTCGTTTCCTCGTTTCAGTTTTTTACTTAAATTTTACCTCGGTTAACGTTCTGATGCTTGATGCGAAGATTTACATATAATAGAGTGTTCCATTTTTTATTTATTATTATTTAAATTTTGAAAAATACGCTGTATAGATGGAAGTGTTTGCATGGTGTTACGGGATGTCGAGTAAAGAATCGAAAAATGTACAAGCTGTTTCACAAAAGATTAGCACTTGATTATCTCCATTGTTTTTTGGAGATATAACACGATTTTATGAACGAAAGATTTATGATTGTTATATAAAAAATATGTAGTTCTATTTTAGAAAGTGAAGGTGATCTTGAAATTTCTAAAACTCTTTTACTAACCAAAAATTATTACTGCCACGCTGTGGTCATCATTATATTCAGCGACTGCTGTTAAAGTTTTATTAGCTTCTTTGTATCTATAAAAACAATGGAGATTATCGAGCAGTAAAAACAGATACGTAGAAAACATGGAATAAAATTCTTTTAAAAAACTTCGTCTTTGAGATAATTATATTCGATAATTTATCGGGCACCCAAATTATTGAATACTCACGACAAATATGTTTACAAGTTATTTATTTATGTAGACGAGTGTTCGGAGGCAGAACGGGTAATCTGCTTCCTCGCGCTTTTCCGCTTTATTTATTTGCGTCTTCGAAAAGGCGTTACCCCTTGGAAACTTCGAGGGTAGAGCTAATTCCCTTCTCCAACGTCGCCTCGATTTTTGGCAGGGGAAAAAATTGTGGATTTCTAATTCGGAATCTTTTTCCCGAGCCGCGCTGACCGTGCGGCCGAAGAAGCCTTAACGGGACATGGCTGGCAGCGTTTATGGTAGGGTAGCCTATTCAGCTACGCACGTATAAAAAGTGTAAAATATTTTCGCCAACTTACAGACTTTAGGGTAGGCTTAATTGCCTATACCTAAACATCTATAAGTGGTCAATGCTATTTCCTACCAACGCTGCGAGCCACGTACCGCTACATATTGAAGTACTACAGCGCAAACTTTTTTAGCACAGGTTTCGACCTCACCGTTATCTTGTTTACCTCGTGTTCGGACTCATTTTCATCAAGAAATCATTGCCGTTTGATTGGATATGTTTGTTTGCAGGTTTGCTTTCGGTAGCTAATCGATAATCACATTCCGAGAAACATTACTCGGGAGAGGTAACGAAATAAACGTAGTAGGGCTAACTTCATTCACATTGATATGAAACTGATTGCGTTTAGAAGCGTGATATTTCTCTAATATTATCATCATGTTCTTCGATTATATAATAAATTCATTTATTAGAGTTCTCTACTGTATTGTAACTTGTCG